CACCACCGACGACAGCTTGCAAATTGTACTCTTCAGCCGCTGTTGCTCCGCTTCGCTTGGCGATGGTCGACAAACAGGCAGACGACATCGCGTCGCCTTCCGTTCTTTCCTTTGCCACGAAAATCGATACGTTAAGTTTATAAAGTTGGCGAAAGTTCCCCACTGGGAACGGTAGTAAGTTCAAGAGCTTCGCTTGCATGGCAAAACTCTGAAATTCACCGAAACCGTCTCGAGCAGCAGATAAAAATCCTTCAAATTCTGTGCCCCAGCAGCATTAGGGATTTTGACCACTGCTGATTTGAACTCTGGAATAGTGCTGAATTTCTCCGTTTGTAATTGCCTTTTTTTCCGACCGTTCTGAGGTGAAGAAACTGGTTGCAAAAGCGTTTTACCCCTTGACAACTTGCTTGGCACAATTGGCTGCTTCGGTGCCCTTGTTCTGCAGTCGCAATTATCGATGGTCCACAGGCCAACTTTCTTCGTCGCAATGGAACATTGCCATTTATTTGAGGGTCTGATGGTCTGCACAGCACCACAAACTGGATCGGGTGTGCTGCTGCGGCCGAAATTCAAATTCATCCTATATTTATAGCACTTTGCGATAGCGCCACAGCGGGACCGCCCGAATTACTGACTTCCCTCATTGAATTTGCCCATCGGAATGAGTTCAGGCGCCGTCGAGTGCTGCGGCGAAATTACGTTTACCTCCAGTAGAATGTTTTAGCACTGACACCGGTTTCCGACGCTTTCCCTGTGCCTTCAAACGTCACAAACACGACGAGAGGCTTCAGCAGATCGCTTCACCCCTTCACCACCTTTACTCTGATATGCCTGTCGTTCTCGTTCTACGACGAACGCTGCTCATCGAACACCTGTTGAGTTTTCTCATTTTCAGCACCTATTCATCACCACTTGCTTTACCACATTTTCATGGAGTTTCCCAAATGGTAATGAACAACTTGGTGATGAGCTGGTCGCATTTACGGTTCGGCAGGTACACCACCATCCAGATCACGAACATGGCTAGATTCGGAGTGACTTATGCTGAGATAGCCTGAAAGACGCTTAACAGCGCGTCATCAGGTAGTGACGACCAACCACTCAGTTCATTAGTCGGATTTACTAAAGATTTACTTAATCCTGAAGCACAAGATCAGTTGCAAAACCTGAATATAACAAATGAAAAAATGCAAATTCACGAAACAAGCAGTGTGAAGGTGGTTCCCTGCCAGGCAAGCCAGAAACTCCTATGACAATCAGGGCGGCAACAAACGAAGTCGTTTAAATCGAGGAGGTTCTCAACGTTCGTCGTATGTAGCGAGGTTTCTTGTGAGAGAATGATGCGAGTTTTGCTAAAAGGCGGCATTACGAGAAACGCCTGCATTTCATGAAACCTTGGAAGGACGGCCCTGTTGAAATGTTGGAAATGATCACCGGAAATGCGAGCTTTTCACCGTGTGTTATTCTCTCAGCATTTTGTCATTCGTCTTTTCTGCTACGTATGGTCTACTATATAATGCTTGTCATGAAAGCGGTGAAGAACAAAGCATCTAGAAATTCAGGTATTGGCGTAAGTTGCAAATGAATGCGGAGGACGCTGACACTCATGCTAACGTCGTTATCATGAGGGACAGTTGGCTGTGTTTTACGGGGGACTTCACTACCGCCTCCAGCCTTCCTCCTTCCTCTTCCGAGCGTGGAATTGACAATGCCGGCGTGACAACACCACTTCAACTTCGTTCACCGCCTATTGAACTAGGTCGGTAATAGTTGTATTCAGCAGCAGCTTCTTTCGTCGATTCGTCTGAAGATCTCTGACTCGGTTTTCATGCCGGAGTGCTTATTCAACGACGAAATACTCACCGCACAGAAGGGCAGAGAGGTCGATCAGCAGATAAGAAACGTCTGCGGTCAACGACTCTTCAGTTAACGACTCTGGCAACGCATCATTAAACTCACAAAAACACCTTTCATAAAACACCTTTCACATGATGTACACTTCAAACTG